GGCTGCAGGGAAATCTGGTCAAAGACTAGTTAAAATAGTAAAGAAAGATACGAAAGTAGCTGTATAGAAAAGGGGAGGTGGTTTATAGGAGGGCAGCAGAATTGATGGTAATATTGGGGGAAACATGGAAAGCCACTGTCATTTGGAAGTTTATAAAATCTTTATGAGAACCTCTCTCTGCATCAGGACTGACCAAGGACAGAGTGCATAAACTACAACCTGCTGACTGAGTCTTGTCCTCTGTTTGTTTTGGTAAATAAAATCTTGCTGGAACAGAAACACACCCTTTTGTTGATAGAATGTTATGGCTTGTCTAGACCCATGACAGTGGAGTCGATAGGGCAACACAGACCATGTGGCCTGCAAAGTTGCAAAGCCTAAAACACTTACTATCTGGTCCGTTACAGAAAATGTGTGCTGACCCAAGGTCTAGACACGGCTTGAGTTTTTTACGAGTAAATTCATTCATCACCTAAAATGCTCCCCACAACTCTGTAAGGTATTAGAACAGTAAGATCACAGTGCCCAAATAAGTGCAAATGGAAGACATGGTTAGTATATTTCAGAAATGCATCCATGGCCTGGCGTCTAAGCTGATACCACAAGGTCGACCCTATGGTTCAAATCCTGCCCCAGCCTCAAGGGCTTAAAAAGCTTGCCAGGTGTGGGTGTGTGTGCACCAAAAATCTGAATAGAGTGGAGAAATAGAGAAAGGATTGCAGTTATGATCACACCCCAACAGAAGGTGCTCTATCCGCCCCCACCAATGCCCCCCACAAATGTATGAGCTTTCTGGCAATTTTTTAAAAAAATAAATGAATAATCTGTTTGAGAAGCTAGCACAAAACAGTTAAAAAGTGATGCAAAATACCACAAAAGAAACTAGATTGAAGGAGAATCTCAAAAATGCCTTTGAGGGGTCGGCAGGTGGCGCGGTGGTTAAGGGCGCTTGACTCTCACATGGCTGACCACTGTTTGAGTTCCGAACCTGGCAGCTTGCTTTCTAACCTTGCCTCTCTCTCTCTTTCTCACTCTATCCCTCTCTGGTCAAATTAAAATAAACAAGTAAATAAATAAAGTTAAATTAAAGTATTTAAAAAGTGCCTTTGATACAGTTCTAAGAGCATGTGCAAATGGCCAGCATCAGGAATGGTTTCCAGACATGCAGGACTGACTTCTGTGTGGCCTGGATTAGAGGCTGCACCAGGGGTGGGAGGGATGACCTTCTGAGGTGGAAGGACTCATGCCCTGGAAGACCAAGAGCTGAGTCCTCTGGTCCCATGCCCCTCTGTGGGCATCCAACACCCATTCTGGCTGGGCTTCCTCACATCCTCCTCTGTAACATAAAGATATACAAAATGATCTGCATACTCTCTCCCCAAATCCCTATCACAGGACTGGGGCCAGTCTATGATGACAGAAAAAAATGAGAACAAGATCACAAGTTTTTCATAAATCTCGATTTATTAAATATAAAGGACTGCCTTCATCTTGTACATTTGCTTTTTTCTTGGTATTAAAATTGTCTTCCCTTTTCTGAAATACTGGTGGTACTGGATGGATTATTTTAAAAATGGCCTCACTTGGCAAAATAAAAATAAAAACTTGGTCACACCATCTCCTGGGTGAGATTGTCTCCCCCAGTTAAAAAAGTTCTGGTCAGTAAAGGACTAGGAATAAACTCTGGATGAGAGGCTCCTAAGCAAGTTGTAACCATTCCTAGGATGCTTGACAAGGACCTACCTGCTAGGCATTTTTCTGAAACACATATGAGACCTATTTGCTGCTCTTTAAAAGTCATCAGGTTTGGGGCTGGCAGGTGGCACTATGGTTAGTACGCTTTACTCCCTTATGGTGGACAGTGGTTCAGGTCCTAAACCTGGTGGATTGCTTTCTCAATTTCCCTCTTTCTCTCTCTGGTCAAATTAAAAATTATAATAATAATAAATAACTAATACCATCAGGTCTCCTATATGGTCTGGTTATTAGTCCCTTATCTGAGGCATAGTTTACAAATATAGTCTCCCATTCCGAGGGTTGTCTCTTCACTCTAATTACTGTTTGTTTTGCTGTGTAGTAGCTTTTTAACCTGATGTAATCCCACTTGTCTATTTTTGAGATCATTAGCTAGCTGTGCTTTGGGGGTCTTATTTAAGAAGTCTTTTCCTACTCTGATATCACCAGATGATCTGTTGACTGATTACTGGAATATACATGGAATTCAAACAGCTTATCCAAAAAGAAATAATTAATCCAATTACAAGATGGGTAAATGAGCTGAAAGATAACTCTCCAAAGAAGACATACAGTCAGCCAAAAAGTATATGAAAAAATGCTCAACATCCCTTATCTCAAGGGAGATGCAAATCACAACCACAATGAAATACCACCTAACCCCAATCAGAATAGCTAAGATTAAAAAAACTAAGAATGATAAGTTCTGATGAGGCTGTAGTGAAAAGAGAAGTTTCCTACACTGCTGGTGGGAATGTAAATTAGTATAGCCACTGTGGAGAATAATACGGAGGTGCCTCAAAGACCTACAGATAGAAGTACCACACGACCAGTAATTCCACTCCTGGGTATCTATCCAAAAGATAGGAATGCACTCAGCTGGAAAAACACTTGTACATCTATGTCTATTGCAGGATCATTCACAATTGCTAAGACATGGAATCAAACCAAATGTCGAAGAAAAGATTAATGGATTGAAAAAATGTGGCACATATACACTATGGAATACGACTCAGCCATAAAAAACAGTGAGATCCTAGCATTTGATTAAAAAAAATGGATGAATGTAGAAGATTTAATACTGAGCGAAGCCAGCCAGACTATGAAAGAGAGGCACTGTATGTCCCCTTTTAATATACACCAAATGTTAGCAGTCTGTAGCAGAAACTGAAAGACTGGGAGGTATAAAAGCATGGAGAGCAAATGTGGATACAAAAGACAGTGTGGGAACAAGGTGGGCAACAGGGGTGGGGTGGAGGGTGGGAAGGAATCAAGGGGAACAATAAAAGAAAAACATTTAACAGACACAAAAATCCAAAACTATCTGTTGATGATAATGTGTTTAGTAGTATCTTTGACTAGACTACTATATGGTATTCATGCTGGGAAAATTAAGTTTGTATGCTGTAAAGATATACAGTGACTAAATACATATATAAAATAATAAAGGAAAATTAAACATTAAAAAATAACATCAGGTGTAGGACCAGCAGGTGGCGTGGTACTTAAGGTGCTGGATCCCACATAGCCAACTAGATGGTTTGAGTCCCGGACCTGGTAGCTTGAAAATCACGCCAGGTGCATGTGCATGTGTGCCCCAAATCACAGAAGGTGAACAGGGGAGAAGGAACTGTGGTGTGGCCACTCCTCCTGGGGGAGTGATTTCTCACTTTCTCTCTTTCTGGTGAGTGCACATGCCTTATAGCAAAATCTAAAAAAATAACAAAACAAAAACCTATCAGGTGTAAATGCTTCAATGGCATCTAAGGCACCTCCCAGTCCAGCTCCAATTGGGGCTCTCTGTCTTCTGCACCTCTGGACACACCCTACACAGTGCTTCACCAGACCTCTCATTTCCCACACAGCTCATAAACCCTCACACCTTCTGGCCTTTGGTTGTGCAAAGGCCCTGACTTGGCCTGATTTCTTAGTCCTTGGCCCTGACTGCTTGGCCTCCGACTGCCTGGCAAACTCTTCTTTCTGTGGACACCCCCCATCTAATGTCACCCCTTATTCTGAATCTCTCCTTAATCTGCACCACTCCTCCCAAAATTTATCGCTCCCTCTTCGATATTTTTGTTACTTGCACGCACTTCTACTGGATTTATAAGAAATATTTGTTTCTAGGTCATTCTGTCCTCCAGGGCTGTAACCAGCAGCCCCTAGCTTGATTTCAAACAAAGTATTTATCGAATGAGAACATACCACATTTCCTATTATTTATATCGTTATATTTATATGAATAATTTTTTAAAAGCGAGGCTTGGTCAAGCTTGGCCTTCTAAATAAATAAATGGCTTTCTTATATGGTCTGAATTGCGGAGATTCAAGAAGGCTGTTCTCCTTCCCCCAACCTCAAATTCCTCTGCACTGGCTCACTGGTGCCTCAAATTCCACTCTAAAGTTTCCTTCCTTTGCTTAAAATGTACAGTGTAGGACGTTAATCAGATTCTTCTGAGCTCAAGTTGAATGGAGGTTCGAGGGAGAGAACACGGGAATATGGGCGAGGTAGGAAAGGGGGCCCTAGGAGGAAGAGAAGCCAAGAGAGGTCCAGAGGATAAAGTTGGTCCAGAGTCACTGATTTAAAAAGCCACCTGCTGGTACTTTTCCAGGGTGGATGAGGAATGGTGGCATTAGAGGACTCAGGCCACGGAAGGAGGACTTCCTACTCTAGGAAGACAAGTGACTGCGACTCCTGATCTGACAGGGCTGAAAATACTCACCGGAATCCAGGGGGAGAGGCCACAGGGGGAAGGGGGTGGGACCCTTAGGGACAGAGTGGGACCCCACGGGGGCTGTGAATGGAGGCGTGCCAGCTTGACCTCTGGCTGGGGCAGAGCGGCAGGTGGGGCGTGGGTCCCAGAGGAGGGGGATGAGCTTGGGTGGGAGGTCAAGGCCTGCGCTCGGTTTCCAGGGCGCACCCGGGGACGAGGCCTCTGCCCGCGGCTGGGGCCCCGCGGGCGGGCTGCTGCCCCTCCGCCCAGGCCCGGCGGAAACTTTTTTGCACTTGCCGGTTCGCGCCGGCCGAGGGGGCAGACCCGGCCCGCACCCAGCAGGGCCCTCGGCCGCGCCGCCGCGCCTCCCGGACCGTCACCCCCGGCCGGTCTTCCCGGGTCGCGCGGTGCCAACCCCGCCCAAGGCTTCCCTGCACGCGGCAGGACCCAGAGGGTCCCAGGATATGCCGGGGTCGCCCCCCACCCCGCTGCCCTGTCCCCACGTCCCGCGCCCATCGGGGAAGGGATGGGAGAGGGCGCCGGGGTTCTTACCACTCCGGTGGCCGAGTGCGCGCGGAGCGCCCGGGTCCCGCCCCGCCCCCGGGAGCACCCCCTCCCGCCGCTCCTCCGACCCTGGGGCAGCTGCTAGGGTCGCCCCTGTGCCCCCGCGAGAGCTGCAGGGCAGGAACCGGTACCGATCTGGGGTTCTCTGGTGTCGGTCCTTCTTTCCGGAGCTCCTGAAAAACCCCCAGTGTCACCGGGAGGGGGTCGTTCACGTTCTGCAAGTTTGTGATCTTCCAATTCTGCGCGAAGTAGCATCCCGTAACTCTGCCGGTGGGAGTGCAAAGGGATTCTTCAAACAAACAAACAAACAAACACGAAAAACACTTTCTAGGGGGCCGGTTTGGAAATGCAGATCAAAACTTAAATGCATTAGAGGTGGTCCCAGAATTCCGCTTCTGCGCCTCTGTCTTGAGTAAACAGTCCGACTCGCAAATTTGTCTAGACTAGGGTGTCTCTTGTAGCTGTTTTTGCCAGGGAAACCGGAAACAATCTAGCCATTAAAATGAGCATTTGGTGACCCGAAAGGGAGGCCTGTATTAAGACCTTCCTTAATATGTGGCTAAATTTAAGTGGAGGGCGTGGAAGCTTACACGTCTATGTAAACTATGAGCTAACTTTGTAGATTAAGATGTGTGCATATGCTGTATGTAAAAGTGAGAGGAAACCTAAGTTAAAAACAGTGATTCTGGGGACCAGCAGTTGGCGCAATGGCTATGTCACTGGGCTCCCATGTAGTCAACTACAGTTCAAGTCCCAGGCCCAGTGGCTTAAACTCATGTGCGTCCGTGCCCGAGATCCCGAGAGGAGAATGGAGGAGAAGGGATTGTGGAGTGTCCCCCCTGGGGGGTGATTTCTCGCTTTCTGTCTCTCTCTATCTTTCTGGCGTGTGTACGCACTCGAATTTTCTCCTACACTTTTTCTCACACTCTCTTGTTTTAAAATTATAGATTAAAACGGAAAGAAAAACAGGCAATAATATCGCTCTCTTCCTCTCAATATTAATACCATTTTAATAGCATGTGGGTTCTAGCATAGTTTTTCTCAGCTTATATAAACGCATATATATATATGGGCAATCTACACAGGCAGGCTGGGGTTTGCTTTCTCTAAAAATGACAAGATGGTGATACTTTTCTCTTCTTCC